TTTCATCCAAAAATTTTCCGTCGAGCGGGGGGGGGGGGGGGTACATAGCCAATGTGAAACGGGAAAAACCGCGAAAAGTCAACAACCGGAAAAATTTTTCCCAACGCGGCAAATTTTCCTCAAAGGCACATGACCCCCCCTGCCCCCATGTGGCTCACACAACGATGCTGTGCCCTGCTTGTAAGACACTTTGCTATCGAGATTACGGTGAGATCACCGTATGATTACAGTATAGGCACGCACTATTGCACCATGGTGCTAGGCTCTCGTATTTTCAGACGCATGGTATTTAGAACTGCAAGAGGTGAGGGGGAGACTATTAGATGAAGGATGAGGATCCTCACCCAAGCCTTGAGGAGAACGGAGCTCCGGGGCAAGCACGGCAAACAGACCTTTTTGAGCAAAACGGTAAGCACAGAATAGTATTACTTACTAAACGTTCACAATAAATGTTTGTTGTCGGCTTCACATGCCCTGGGTCTCTGTATTGGAGTGCCCCTCCTTATACACATAACGCTTTTTAACTCTTTCACAATTACCGAAGATGATATTTGACGTACTAATAACCATATAAGGAGAGAAATACTTTAAAGAGTAATTTCTGAGACATTTTTCTTCAAATTGCAGCCTGGGATAGTGGCGAAAAGGTGCAGTCGAGAGAAACAATCAAACACGCCCTTCGAAAAATGGAACACAAATGTTCATTGAATTATCGTGGCGCATCGGGGCGCCCGAACAGGGCGACGACAAAAGACAGACACAACATAGGCATGCAGTGAGTGGAGGAAAGGGGGTGAGGCGTGTATGTGTGTGATAAAGTGCAATCGATTGACCGAACACATTACCCATCAGGAAAAGAGCAGAGATTCGTCTCGGAACGCTTTGCCCTTGCCGTCATACATCTGGAAACTATTAAGGTGACGCCGGCGAAGAAAAAGAACCCATTATTAGCTAACAGTCGTCAGTAGTCGTTATGTTTTCATCTCTCGCGGACGGCAAAAGTAAACGACAAATAGCTCATTTCCAAAAGTCATTCTCACGGATACGCCATGAACTCGACTGAGATCAAGAATTGCAAAAACATTGTTGCCTACGTCGCAGACTTCTAGGGGAAGGAAAAATCGTGGTCGAGGAATTGAGGAGTCCCCAAATAAGAAATAATTCACAGTCCTAGAAATCGCTGCTACCGTAGTCCGCGCGCTTGATTTAGTTTCCCATCCTTGGGGTACTATTAATTGCCACGTTATACTGCCTCAGCAGTGCCCACGTGCTGTACGTCTACAGCATTGATTCTATCGCTAGGTAGGTATCGCGCCGTGAGCCCAGGGAGGGGCAGGGCTTCTGCAACGACCTGGGTTAGCAGAGAATCACGGACTGCGAAATCCCTTTCGAATCCCGAACAAGGGGGTCGTATCTGATTTGCTGAGAGAGGCATCACAAAGTCAGAGAGTGCGAGCACTTCGGAATTCCTTTTTATACTTTTATGGGTTTTTATCATGTCTACCGCAGGTAACAGTCTCTGTCCAATCTTCACGGTCGACAACTGTCTTCTACGAGTAGGGGTCAAATTGCACGTAAAGGGAGGTTCAGAGGTTGATACTAGAGGACGCCTACATATACCAGCTAGGGGACGTCGTATGGTGGAGATTAACGGAGATGGTGTGGGGGAAGGGGGGGGGTGGTAGTTGCAAGGGGGAGAGCCGTACTTTTCTTCGAAAAAACAAAAAACTGGAACGTTCCCAGTTGCAGACCTTTCTCAGTTTTCCCCGTTTCATGTCATGTATGCTTTACCACCCCCCCCCCCCAAGGTTGCGGGCGGTTTTCGAGGGTCAAGGAAAACCGCAAAAATTTTCGGAAAACAGTGGAAAACTGGTAGGATGGTAGGGAACTGGAAAACCTAAGGAAGGCGGTAGGAAGCACGGGAAGGGGGTGAGCCGTACCAGAGGGCGAACTTTTGAATAGATGGGTTGTAATTTTCTAAATTTTTAGCCAACGACAGGACCTATCTTGATGTGAGCTCCTCTCTCCTCCGTGTCGGTCCAACTGTCCTGCCATCTTTGTAGCTCCAAGAAGCCAAAGAAAACGGTCAGGGGGGAGGCATTACGTTGAGGATCCCCAACGAGGTCGTATTCGGTCGCTGGACGGAAGGGGTTGCAGCTGCCAATAAGTAAATTACTTCGATTGTTTCTCGCACGATTTGATTTTTTTTCGCACGCGCAACCCCCACCCCCTCCCCTCCGTCGGCGGCGTTGCAAAAAACTATTCTTGCTGGTAGTTGGTGTAGTTTTTCAGCACGCCGACGAGACTACGCAGCGAGTGTAAGGTAGAAAAAAAATGACAGTCATAAAAATGGTTGCACGGAGGTGCCTTTCCCAGGAAAATCGAGAGGAGAACTTTAGGGCGCGGGAGGGGTCGTACTAGGCAAAAATCAACTCGGAACGTACCAAATACGATTTGTTCGACAGGAAATGATTCATTATCATCAGAAGGCAAGTCGACACTTCCAGTGATTGCCCTACATGCCCTCTCTTCCCCGATATCTCTCCGGAAACCGAAACTGAATGAGCTCTACGCGTTCGGACCATGCAAGAAAATACAATAGCAGCTAATAGGTGTGTTGCGACAGAAAGAAGTTTTTACCCTGGGCACCAGAAAGGCCCGAAACAGGATTTGTCTTCTAGTTAGTTTACCTTTGCTGAGGCGGATCGGGTTTGGCGTCTTTCACTCGGCGCCTCTGTGCTCTGTTGTATTGACATTCCACTTTCTGTCCTTAAAACGAAAACTGCTAGTGACTCAAATGTGGAGTATTCAAAAGGAGGAAATGGACTCCGAAACACATGGTCAGTGGACCAAATAGCCCAATCACTTTAGCTAACTGGGGCTATGCTGGGTCTGGAGGGACAAGCAACTAAGACAGTCGCCCCTTACGAACGTAACCAGCGGAACAGCTAGACCGATTATTCGGCACCGGAGTTATCTTGGAGATTAGAGTCGCTGCAGGCAGTCTTGCTCATCTTTCTACTTCCCGCCCTTCATCGTTGGTCTTTTACCAGCGCTTGCAATGCCCCTTCGCCCCCGTCCAGCAAGGAGCGTCCAACAGCAGGGCGAAAATTTTACGACCACGATACGACCCCTCCCCTCAGAAATTCTTCCGCTAGTACGACCCCTTTTCATATCCCCTGAATCGACCTAGATTCTCTCAACTCCCTACCACTTTTCCGGGATATTTTCCCTGAAAATTACCCAGTTTCCCTCAGAGAAAAGCGGGCGTTGAGAACATTTTCCTCAATGGCAAATACGACCTATCGCTGGGAACACCCAACCTACAATGTGCCCTGTCGTCCAGTACCAGGCCGCGTTCATACCTTGCGAATCAAGAGACTCTATGGCGCGAATAGGTTCGACCACGTTCCATCGGTAATTTTTGCACTGCTACAAAGGTAGAAAGTAGTTGTATCTTGAAGGAATGTCGACAGGCCGCCGCGTGGCCCCTATGTTAGTGCCTACGGTGCAGCGCAGTTCTTCAGTCACGCAATTCTCGAACCCCACGGTCAAATCGCTGGCTCAAGTATGAACGCAGCACGAGAATCACGTGAAAAATAGTCGTTATTTGAAGCGCCTACGAGGTTTTCCTGTTTTTTCCCCACTGTCAGGCCTTTAGCATGTAAAAATTCATATCTAAACCCGGTACCTACGACTTGCAATCGCTATATGTATCAGTAGGATAACCCGACAAAAAAAGCAGAGTTGTTCGGCTTGGTGGGAGCATTTTTCTGAATCCCATCGATCACTGCCGATACCTCCTGTGAAGACCTGTGTGAGCTTTTGCTGAGTTGTGCAATAGCAGGAGCTCCGTTTACACTTGGCAAGAGTCTACAGTTCTTATCAGGTTAAATGTGTAATTCGAGAGAATCTAGCAAAAGAAACTACTGGACGTGCGAAATGCCCCGCCCAAGCCGAACACCGCCGAAAGAAGCGTTGTGACTCTGGTAAACGAAATTTCTGTAAGAATTGAAATAAAAATAAGGAAGAATCTAACTCTCTGCTTCGAAATACAGGAATCTCGCGAATAAAACTTTCATTTCAAATTTATCACAGTTCCCTAAATCTATACATGTTTAGATAGTAAAAGTTAACTCGAGTGAAAATTTCGGCACTGTTTACCCTCTCGCCCCATTTTTTCGAAATGTGAGTTGGGCTTTTATTTTTTTACCACCCGACCTTTATCGAACAGCGGCTAAGGGCGTCCCAAAAGCCCCTCAAAACACCTATTTCTTCGGAAAATCACTCCTGGAGTAGTGGGATGGATCTATCCCAAGATATCTGTAAACGCAAAGCCTCCCATCTCCTTCTTTTACTAACTTCTTCCCCTTTTTCCGTTCATTCCTTCCTTTTTCTCCCTTCAAACGATCGGCCAGAAGATGTCACGAGAAAATGCCTCTGGGCCCTCGCAGCGAGAGGAAATCCGTTTGACAGAAGCCCTGTCACCAACGGGTTCTCCCCAATAAGCAACATACTCATTTAGCGCAAAAACGTCTGGCGCTTGCCCAAAACACCTCGAAAACCTCGATCCAGCCCTCTGTAGCAGTAAACCCTTCTATAAAAAGGTACCCCCTCTAAACCTCAGTTACGATGACTAGAAAGTTTCCCCCAAGGATAGCTTGATGTTAGCACAAGTACTCAAACTTTTTCAAAACATCGAAAACTGAGGCAACGAGGGTTAAAAGCCGTGAAATTTTGGAATAGAACAGTTAAAACTTCTAAAAGTTCTATGGCGAACGTGAAATACGATCGATGGGCGAACTTCCAGGAAATCATCAAAACTCAAGTAACGATCAACAACAACAGGAAACAATTTGAACAACATATACTGTCTTATTGCCGTTCTGCAACTACGGACATTCGGAAATGCCCGTACCTGCAAGTTCTTAGTGAGGCTATACCGAGTTAAAGAGATCGAACTCCTCAACGGACCTTCGAAAGACCGGATTGTCGTCAGCCTACTTATTTTTCGTCAAATTTCTCTGCTTTTCGGCTGAGACCACTATGACGTCATCGGTTGGTAGCCCTTTTCGCCGTCGCACGGCATCCATATAACCACGAGCATGATTGGGTGAATCGCCTTTTTCACCGTATTCCTCTATCTCCTCTTGAGTTGTTGGTTGCCAGTATGGGTCCTGCAATGAAGAAAAGCTAAAGGTTTGCCAAAAAACTACTCGGACCAATAAATTTAAAAGTAATCAGACTGACGTGCAGCCATTTGCCGTATATGATGGTAATGATAAGCAAGAAAAAAATGGCTGGTTCGCTTTCAAAGGGGGCTTTTGAACTCTATTTCCTTTCCAGATCCTGTTAAATTACGCGTTGCACCTTGGAGAGACCTGTCGACCCATGTCAAAGTAAGCGAAGCTCATGCTGGCGCATAGCTTTACAGGAATATACAGTTCTCCAGGAGCACCTCCGTAATCGACAAGCGGAATCGAATCCCCCACCAAACGAGCGTACAAAAAATCAAGGGTCAAATTGGACGTTTTTGATGCATGACAGGTTCTATGGCGAACTTTCTATTTAGCCCATCATTCGAAGGTGCAGTCCACGCTGATCATATGGGCGGAAAGAGGCCAGGACAGTTGCATCAGTGCCACCTTCGTCTATAACGAGAAGAGAAGAGATGCACCTATGAGGAGGACACAAAGACAGGTCTGAATCCGCCCACATGACTACCATGGACAAGGAATTCTGAACAAGATCGTTAACATCGAAAACCACTTTTTCATCGACGCGAGGACTTGCCCAACAAACAAAAGTCCCCAATACTTTATGGGCAGCGGGTCAAACTGTCACATGAAGGTGTCGCCGCCAATGCCAATGACTCACCTCATCGATCAGCTGCCAATGACTGAACTCAAGTTGAGCGCTCGCCATTCCTGACGTATTTTTCCGAAGATGATCACAAAATGAGAATGATTCCACTACTGGCATCAATGCCGTAACTTCAAATAGTCCTGTTGCTTCATTGATATCCTCGTTCAATGTCTAAAGCACTACCAATAAAACCCCATAGTAATTCTTTTGTAAAAGTATCATAATAAAGGCTTCAATCGCTTGCTGCCTTCTATGATTGGTGGAGAACGGGTAAGCACCGCTTCAAACCCAGTCCCATGACACGTCCCAGTACCTGCAGCGAACAGGAACTCAGCTAGAAAACCGCGGCGCTTGCCAATCTACATAGTTTCTGCCCATCGTTTGGACTCGAATTTGCTTACCCGTACCGAAGAACGGTTCGGTACCAGTATTGTGATAGCTAATGACGGTTATCAAGAGTCAATTCAAGAAAAATTCCAATTAACCTTAGCCTTCCGCTGGGCAAGTACTGCGTGAACCTTTCCAAGAGCCTGACTGGCAGTCGTAACCATGCACCTGAAACAAAAAAATTACGCAGCATTATTCCCGTTTCATACATAAAATGGGGTAATATTTGCTGAATAGATTTATTTTCAATTCCCCTCTCATTGCTCTGCACCCGACAACGTTCTATTTCTGTGAAATGCTAACTTCATATTTCACAACATACTACACATTTCATTTGCCCTGCAACATGCAGTAGTCATGGATATTTGAAGGCAGTTGGCACGATGGTTTCCTACTTAGCCTAAAATGCTAGTAGGGCGCTGTATAGTGGGGAAATGGCGAAAGAACGGAGTGAAACGGTCAAAATCCTGCGAAGAAAAAGCCTCCGTTCTCAGACTTGTAAATCGATTTCGGACGAGTTTCCCGTAGGCATCTTACCAATCACCGCGAAGATACGGCTGCATATGTGTACCCATGTATGCATGCAGCATCACGGCCGCTTCATACCAATCCCTTCTTCATAATTTGCTTAGCAAATGAATCGATTAGAGCGTCAGGAACAGTCGTCCACTTGTTGTGGGGGCGGGCGGCGCGTGGCGGGCGTTTGGGACGTAAAGTTGTGGCTTGATAGGGCCCTTATAAGGGCACCTTCCTGGGGAAACCGCTATGCAGCGCCTGCCCAGGGTCGCGGAATTCTATCCTGCCAGGAGTATTGATCCTAGTCGTCTTGGGGATTTATCGTGCCAACTGCCTTCAAAGTAGCACTCTTCTATAACTGTATGGGCGGTAAGAGTGAGCTGCTCCTCCCTCATTGATCTCTTCTTTATACTACAAAATGTAGGCAATCAATAAAGCGGACACAATAGCTAGACCAACCCCGCCCATAAGATCAGGGTGGACTCCGTCTATGACTGCGAATTATCAGGGTTTGGAAAATGTGAAGTGAGACTGCCTTGAGTCTAATCTGTTCAAGAATGAAAACAATGGGCTTCATAAATCTTTTCGTCACCCGCCATGCACTCGACTTCCATTTGGATCGAAGACGCATTTGAAAGAGCAATTGATCCACACCACGATTTTCGGGTCAGTCAGTTTTCAAGCCAGCATTATCAGAAAGAATAAAACAAATCTCGAAAAAAAATTTAACATCAGTCAGCCAGCCAGCCTTTGTGAGTCTCATCCCCAGAAATGATCGGTACGACTGGGCACAAGTTAGAATATCCTAGTTGCGGCGGCGCAGCAAAAGGGTATGTAAGGCAGCGTTCAGACTTCGCGACGGCAGCGCTTCGGTCTCGCGTTCACGCGATCGATGCGCATGCTTTCAACTGCATCGATCGCGTCGAGCGCGCGACCGAAGCGCTGTCGTCGCGAAGTCTGAACGCGGCCTAATGTGGTCAGTGGCGGAGATTTATCATCCCCGGAGATCATAACGCGACAGCGCGCACAGCGATCTAGTTTTACGCCTCTCGTCGGATCTCCTGTCCCGCATCCAATGCGACTAAATTCATGGAAGCGAGGCGGTAATATGTATCAGAGCGAGTACCTTACAGACTGTAAACGCTGTAAGACCTGAAGTTGCTCAGAGATTTCCAGTGTGTTTAATTTCATTTTTTTCTATTTTGAAAGTGTACAATTTCATTTCCTTCACAATTTGTAATGCTTTTGTTTCAATGTGATCGAAATCTGCACGAAGTAATTTTTCCATCGGCACTTACATATCCCTGGACCATGCCGCCTTACTACTGTTTGTACCCTATGCGGGCAGATCAAATGTCACTAGGAATGAGGTTCCCTACTACATTTCGAAAGCTCAAAGACCACCTGTACATGGCTGCTACCAGCCGTAGTGCCAGTTTTTTCGCAGCTGCTTTGCATGTGTCACGAACAGCGCTCATTATTTGACCAGGAATTGCAGCATCCTTCAAAGAAACACGGTACAGAAGAAAAAACCAAGCAAAACAGGTTGTTGATGGACAGAAAAAAAGGAAAAAACCTACTGCTTCATCAAGATTCCATTCTTCGATTATAACCGCTACACCTCTCATCACTTCGTGGCAAAGAGGACCGGCTGTCACAAACATTTCAAAACCGGACACAATAGATTGGTCGAAGGGGCGAACACCGAATTCGGACTCTAAAAGGCAAAAAAGCTGCAACCTGTGGTAAGATAATACTAAAAGGATTACGTCATTTCGGGGAAACAGAGCCTTGGACTTGCTCGAAAGACATCATCATTAATGAAGGAGAAAGACGACTTTCTATTTGACGAGAACCAAATAACACAGCCTCGCTTTCGGGAGTGGGAGCAAGTGGAGGGAGAGAGGTTGAGATCTCAGCTTTGCAGTTTACCTTCAGCAGGAACAACCCAAGGCAAAGATTGCAAGTCTTGCCGAAAATTGAAATACTGCCGACGTTGCTGCTGGGGAACAGAGTACTAATCAGAGCACTTCCTCCCACTGGTGAAAATTTCTAGAAAATACGACCCTTTCCCGTTCCTTATCCTACCAACAGTCGTACTGACCTTACTGACACCTCCCCACTTCTGTCAAGCGAGAGGGATTTCCCACTGATGTGGTTAGCGTTCAGGAAACAGGAAGAATCAATTATCGAAAAATTAATCAGATAAAACAAAACTCACTCCCTCCGCCAACCAAATGCGACCTCCCGCTAAGGACTCTCCAACGTGCCCCGGAACTGGTAGCAATCGGTGATAATTCTGATGAGTTTTGGGTGCAAGGCCCACCTCGCTTGGTCGCATTGTGTGGGTTACGGGTAATAGTCTGCAGATATGTGCTAGGTGGATCACATCTAACTGCTGAATCCCACGTCTTTGAATCGCCATATGTGACGTTTACCAAAAACTTACTGCTCTCCCATATCGATTTCCGTTGATAACTAGGAATCGCGTTGAATAGAATGTTGGCTTTCGCTCGGTCAGGGCCAAAGCTCCAGATCTAAAACCATACTGTATCAAGGGCAAGTTCCATGACAACCCCAGTAACCGAAATGACGGAGAAATGGGCGGATACCTACACCAATCGTGCCTTTCTCATTGGTGTGTCCCGCATTAATACATGAAGAACAGAGGCGCACCAATGAAGAAGGCGTGATAATTACGAGCCTTCGCCCATCTGATTACCGTGGAATATGACTTTAATTTTACAGAACATTTTTAAAAATGAACTTCTCACTTTGTCGATCATCTCCAAAACTTCGGTTTTGTTCTTCTTGTACCACCACGATCCCCGACATGAAGGAAGATGTTCTTCACATATTTTCAATAATTCGGACCTAAAAGAGTAAGAGAAGGAACCCCACTGAAATTGCAGTATCAAAATAATCGATAAACAGTATGTCATATAGCCAATACCTAAAATCAGCTAACGATGCTTCTTCGATATTGCCTCGTTTCATTGAATGTAGTATCTCTCCAGATTTTTCCAGCAAATCGACAACCTCATCGGGTAATGGAACTAATCGCAGGCGGATGTGCAAGGAATCCCCACGTACACGGCATTCCTGAACCTCCTATCATTACTACCATTATCTTTGCTAAAGAATCTCCATTGTCACAAAGGTACTGGATCAAACGTATGTCGTTAACTACTCAGAACAAATTGCGAAAACATAGCAGATAATATTTACCGGCTCCCATCATAACTAGTCGGCAGTGGCTAGTGAAGTGCTACCGCGTCTCTTGCTACAGCCTTCACAATATCATAATCTCTGGACTGCGAACGTCGATTTTTCTAAAAAAAAGTTTAAAATGTGCTTCAGAGGCCATGGACGTCTCAAAAGACAACCATCACGACAAGTGCTTACGGGTAGCAGGGACGCTAGTCTGTACCACTACCATACATAACTCCACAGAAGTGAGAAAGAAGTGAAAAAACCTCGCGGAAACTATGAATAGAACCTCCGCAGCAGTGCGGCGCTTTTTCGCGAGCGTCATGGCGAGCCCAACATCCAGCAGGATTCGACAGTGCATACCGATCCCCGATGAAAGGATCACAGGAAATCACTCTACGACGCTCCAGGCGACGTAGCCCAACCAATCTCGAAGCAGTTGTCTTGCAGACTAAATAAGCTAATCGTGGTGCAATGGTTGCCAAATCCCCAATCAGCGTCATTAGCTTCCCTCTTATTCTGCCGTTTCCAGTAACGCCAAAGCGTGATCTTATGGTGCGACGACCGCGAATGCGGACAACGACGTGCAGACAGAGGCCGTTTCGCAGGTCGCGATCGCGAGAACTGCCATTGAGGATCCCTTGGCCGTTCGAGGGAGTTGTATGTGCTTTTGAGAAAAAATGTGCTTGTTGAACTAATTATATTTCCCGTTAGCACTGGCACTACGCCCCCCGCCCCCCTCCCCGCCCCCTCTCCCCCCAGGCAGTTCCCCTGGGAAATGAGAAGAATCTCCGGCAAAGTGGCAGGAGTTGAGAAACGCTTAGTTAATGATGGTTGGAAGATAGCATAGGGAAGAGGCGGATTGTCGAAGAGTCGAAGAGAATCCTTTAGGATTCATAATTGCAAAATTTTTCTCAACGGCAGGACGTGTCCTGCTCAGAAGTTAGTCCACCACCCGAATCCTTGCACGCTAAGCTCCCAAACGACATTGCGAAATAAAATCACAAACGGCGTATAGAGGCGATCTCAAAGAACTCATAAACGATCCAAGTACTTCGCAAACTTTCCTCTTTGGAACGGTAGAGATAGGCGACGGCAGCAACGCATATCGCTCTACCAGCTCTCTGGGCCAGGGCAAATCCAAAAACAAAGCTATCAAACCAAACCAACGTAAGCCTTCCATCCTTTCCAAAATCGTTTGATAGTCGCAGGCTTGCGTCCAATTAACTTCTTACATTAGCTGACCACAGCAAATTATCGTCAGACAGATCAGTGTCCACTATTGATTCTATATGGACGAGAACGCGTGTGCGCAATTCACAAGGGGTTAGCTCAACGGAAGAATGTTCACACTCGTTTACTTGACAAGGGCCTACAGATCTCAACATGGTATGACGTGTAATTTACCAGGAATAAGCAAAAGGAACCAATGAAAGTGCGAAATGCCTCTTCCAAGCCGAATGGCGCCCACAACTTCCAAGGCATTATCACTGAGATCACGCCCATTGACATGGGATTTGAAAATCATTGATAATATGGTATAGCGAGCTGGTATGAAGTGACTGAGCCACTTGAGGGTTTGAATGGCTGGGGTTGGAAATTACTTTGACATCTACATCACGATCTCGGCGAAGACATGATTCCTTTGAAAGTTAAAGCTGTAGCAATTCATGGAAAGTGTAAGAAAAGGAGGAATCTGATGTACAGAAAACCACGATACCGTTACTTGATCCTGAATCTGAGCAAGAGTCAGCTGAGTGTCAGGAATTATCGTCTCCAAAAATGGAACTATTGGCTCGGATACCTGGAAAAACAACTGATGAAGTGATCCCATGACGAAATAATTGAAACTGATTCTTCTAAACAGAGTGTGAGTTTGAACCTTGCAAAACTTACCAGACTCACCTAGCCACCAAACTGCGGACCTCTTTTAACACACCCCGATTCAATGGTTAATGATGTCTGGCTTCCTAACCATTAATTTGGCCAGCCAATGAGAAGTTCAGACAAAGACAATTACGAAGAATTTACTGCAGTGAAATCTATACCTCTAAATCTGTGAATCCGAGATCTTCCAAGTCCTTTAAGCACTTCTGCAAATGGACTTCACCAGCTGTGATCATGGCCAATTCTCCATTATCGAGCTCAAGCACCTTAAATTTCAGGTCAAAAGCATGCTTACGTCCGCCGTAGGGGCAGAGCCAGGCCTACTATTGTACTTTCATCATTGGGCACTTCTCTTCTAATGTAACACTGTAAAGAAGAAGGGTGTACCAGACAGTCACAATTTTAGGCTCGGCTTAGGCCACACGAGTGTGGAATGTGCTTTTTGAAAGTGAAGGTTAAGCCACTACAGTAGAAATTCGGGGACATCAACAACAGAACGACAGGACCCACTCACCTCGAAGATCTCGCGACGTAACTGAAAGCACTGGTGGTCAGCGTTTCTTTTCAAACGCGTCCATTGCTCTCCAAATTTTGCTGTGTGACAGAACTCATAACTAATGGTTCTCCCTGCTTTAGTCCAACGTCCAAACCTTCACTGACGGCTTCCGAGCAGAGAGTAGAATTCTGTAATAGTTTTACTCAGATAAGCCATCACAACAAAGGTCTCCAAAATGTCTCTATGCGGGCAAATTTCACAAGTCTACCAACAACACTGCACTAAGCCCACGCTCCGAAACCATGTGTCCGGTTATACTCCAATACTTGATAACTTCCAGCTAGCCAATAGCAGCTACATCGTTCACTTTGATACGCAAACATGAGTAGAACGGACAGCAAACTTACCATCATTAAAATGGATTCACAAATCCCAATGCCTAACATGTAGTCGCAAGGCAGGTGGCCACAAATCCCAATACGCTACATGGCCCTAGTCAAAGGCAGTGGGCAAGATGGCTGGGGCAGTCCGTTTCAGCCATCGTCATTGGCGGAAGGGCTGCGAGAAGGCGTTTGGCCGAACCCCTTCACCCCTTCCACAGTCAACCCACTAAAACTTCCTCGTTGAGATGTCTCTTCCCTTTATTATTTGCGAAGAGGGAAGGACTGAAAAGCATACAAAGGATTGACTGTTCTCCGCTTTTACAGTCAGCGCTAACTGCCCCTTAGCATTAGAGAAAGGCGCGTGAAGCGAGTGCCTGCACATTTGTCCTACACATCTGTTCCAGGAGACGGAGGTGGTGTAGTGGCAAGTGGGGCGCTTACCACGCGAGCGGTACAGGAGTGATGTTTGGCTTCCTCCCGTGCCTACCAAGCCCTCTACGCTTGAAGTTGGTAGAATTGGTATCAGAATTGTCTGGGGGATAAGAACACTGACTTGCCCATCGGTTGGCCCTCGCAAGATAGTGTGCAATGGCCACGTCGCATTCAATAAGCCACTACGACTCTGAATGGAAGTGAGAAGCCCCTTTCATTCCTTACCTGTACGAGTCCTTGAGCATCAATGGCACAGATCACTCCTGCCGTGGCCTTTTCCATCGGAAGCATGTCTCGACCTCTTAATGCCCAAACACCATCCACAGTCACACTCGGAGCCTCGGAACCTTCTTTCCTAGCCTTAATAGGGACTTTACGAGCAAATGATCTCGAAGAAGAGCCGCCTGAACATACCTTCCTTCCCAAGACGTACAAATTTATTCCCTTAGAGATCTGGCCGCTGAAAATCCGGCATACGGCCAACTTTCGGTCTTCAAACCGGACGAATTTCACAACGAGCGCTATTGTCACACCTGAGGAGGCGAGTTGAAATTTTCTCGATAAAATGAGAGTGAGTGTAAGTACGACACCTGTGGGAGAACAGTCCTTGATCGCTTGAGCAAGTGGGTGATTCTGCTTGTTACCGACCAGGTACTGCATCCTGCAAAAAAGCTCGTCCCTATTGTCAAAC